CGGCATTTTACATTTTCTTATCACTTCCTTCTGCATTTCAGATCTAACTACAGCGACCTCGCACTCGACCTGGACTCCATGACAGATTACATCAAGATGCTCGAGGCCGTCCCACCTTTCGAGCGGCAGTACATAGACATCATTGCCATTAACGAAATCGAGGGCCCCGACTGCGTGAGTTTACATCGCAATTCAGCCAAATCATAATTCACACAATCAGCATCTTTTTTCTTTTGTAGATTAGCTGTGGTGGTTCGAGATATTTGCGAAGAGAAAGGAAAAATGGGACGACTCGGCTGGCATCTGTCAAGCGCCAAAGCCAGTGGGTGTGTGTTTGTTCAACTAAAACATCTGTTCTCTGTTATCTTTTCCACAGAATGAGACAACCACGATGGAACCAACCACTACGGTGGAAACAACCACGCCAGAGGAAACCACTACCACGGTGGAAACAACCACCACAGGGGAAACAACCACACGTATGTAGATTCTTTTCTGATTCAAATGTTTCATCATGCTGCAGTTAGGAGATTCAGTTGCTGTGTGAGGTACCTGACAGAACAAATTGAAAGTTGCGTTTTCTTGTGAGTAATATACCTTATTTCTCTCAAGAAACACGTGATTTAAAATACCGGCCTGTCTCAATAGATTCTGAAAGAGGGATGTACGCTGACTTTCTAGATAGCACCTCTCTTTTTTCTAGAAAATTATATATATGAATATTTATATTTCCTGCTCAAGATTTCTTAGTATTTCTAGCAGTTTAATCAGTGACCAGAAAAATCACCTCTAAGGTCAATTACAGTCACAACGACCTTTGTAACACCTACGACAGCGGAAAACACGACACTAGTAACAGCGACGGAAACTAGTACTGGGACACCTGCAATAACCACATCAGAAAAGACGACAACACAGTGAATCCACAACATCCTCACAACACCAGAGACATCCTTTCATTTCGAATCAACTTCTCACTGCTTCAAGTCTTTACAACAGTACCGCAATTTCGACGGAAACAACTACGACAGAAACCTTATTAACACGGGAATCCACAGTATCAACAGGATCAACTACTAATCACAGAATTTACAACTTAACAGAAACAACCTCTAAACACCGGAATCCACAACTATGGAATCCAACAAATTATAATTCCACTTCGGAAACAACCATTGGATCCACACAACCACCGGAATACAACAACGAAACAACCATTTACAACGTTATACACCACACGTGACAACTGACGCTGACCTCACCTAACCAAGATTTCCAGCAGTCAGTGACCAGAGGTCACAGGAAACACCTACGACAGCGGAAGACACTAGTAACAGCGACGGAAACTAGTACACACCTGCCCACATCAGCAACAACAGTGGAATCCACAACATCCTTCACAACACCAGAATCGACACTCTCATCAGTCGAATCCACAACTTCACCTGCAACAGTCTTTACAACAGAAGGACCTACCGCAATTTCGACGGAAACAACTACGACAGAAACCTTTATAACACGGGAATCCACAGTATCAACAGGATCAACTACTAAATCACAGGAATTTACAACTTTAACAGAAACAACCTCTAATCTGAAGGAAATAACCACTACAACACCGGAATCCACATAAACCACTACAACACCGGAATGGAATGAAACAACCTCTAAAACACCGGAATCCACAACGACAACGGAAATAACCACTACAACACCGGAATCCACAACATCGGAAACAACCATTAAAACACCGGAATCCACAGAAACAACCTTTAAAACACCGGAATCTACAACAACGGAAACAACCATTAAAACACCGGAATCCACAACTTCAGTAGCAACAACAACTGAGACACCGGAATCCACAACCAAGGTTACAATTCCTACCGTTACTGACACGACCCCTCCAGCGACAGTGACTACGACAACACCGACTAAGACAACCACAAAGGAACCCACCTTCGAGATAAAACCTTTCCCAAAGCCCAAAGAAGAGACGATAATACAGGTGGACGAGCACTATGAAGCTAATGCTGACTGTAATGATACTGAGAGCAACTTCCTCCAAGTAAGTCTTCCGCGTTTTTTCTGCATACAGCTGTTGCGTGTGGATAATCAGTAATATTCTTTGAGGAATTCGTTGCAATACAGGATAATTGGTAATGTGACGTGTAACTCTTCTCAGGAAGTCGTTATAGACAACGATTTCGACAAGGATGATTTTGTTTACGCTCTTCATAGGTTAGTAATGCTCCTTTTCTTGGCAGGGTTTTAGTATAGAATGTAATATTGTCTGTGATCTATTAATTATTTTCATTCACTGAAGTGTTAGAAGACCGCTGATTTTTTCCCCTGAATGTTTGGCATAAACCTGACCTCTCTCAAGACTGAAAGCGAGCGAGGAAAGCCACTGTGTGATCGAAACGGTTTTCTCGCAAGACTCGAACATCTCTGCCAATTCATCCTGGTATTACATGGATGAAAACGACCTGATTTACCTAGAGGAGAAGGTAAGCTGCCAAACTTGTCGTGAAATCCAATCGCAATACATGAGAAAGTGTTCATCAGAAAAAGTAAAATTTCGGATGAATTGTTCATGTTGCTTCATGCCTCAGGAGTACCAGAGAGATGTGCATATTGGCCACGGTATATTGGTCGTCTTGCCTTTGATAAGCGTCGACGGCACTCCCACGTTCGTCATCCTGCTAAGGACTTTCACGGACGAACCCGCCAGTCCTATCGTTCAAGTAAGGCTTATAAATTCACGGTGATGTATTCACTTGACGTGTGGCAGTGTCATCTAAACATGTGTCATAGATTTCCAGACTTGTATTGTACTGAAGGTCCAATAGATTGATTTCTATAAAAGTTACCATATCTGAGATACTTGGTTAAATGACTGCTTGAGGAAGGTTAAACTTGATTAAATGTATTTATTCCATTAACATTCTCTATGATGATAAAGAAATAGATATAGTTGATATCTAAATATTTGAATTTTAAATGGCCTTAAGAAATCATGATTCCATTGACATTGTGTGATGATAAAGAAATATTTGTAATTTTGCATAAATAAAATCATATATCTAAAGTAGATATGAACTTTACGTAAGTAACAATTGAAGGTAGACGACAGTATCTATAAAAAAAATTTTTTTTCTTTCTAATAATAATAATAATAAATAAAAGATAGCGAAATTGATAAAAAAGTTATCGGGATGTTTATTAAGTCCCACGCTAATTTCTATAGCAATAACTTTTAAGTATCTACCCTGATGACTGGTTCCCTCGCTCCTTGCTACCAGATCGCGCAAAGCTTCCAATCGCACAGAGACTGCGGTTGTTTGGGCGACAACGGGGTCGAAGATTTGGGCAACAGAACGGATGATGTGATGCATTCTGTGATACAACACTTCACTGAAATGTGATTTTATGCAATAGTTATATACACATATAATATGTAGTCATACATGCAAAAAAAAGAAAAAAATATATACATATATGTTTCTTTTATGTGTGTGTGATGATTTTCTTTTTTTGTGTGTGAATGTCGTATGACATATATCTATGTTATACCTGTAAATCTGCCTGAATCAGTTGTACTGTGACTTTTATGATATGAAAGCCGAATTTTGATAAAAGAATTCAATTGCTTCTAGATCGTATTATAACGTTAGCAATATGGACTTGGACTCTCTAACGGACTACATGCAGATGTTGGCTGCAGTCCCCGCTTTCGAACGTCATTTGACAGATATTATTGTCCAAAATGTTTTTGAAGAAGAGTGTGTAAGTATTATACTAGAAGTTGCTTGCTATTTGTGCTGTGCTTTTCGATTACATTACTTGTGTGTGCAGGTCATATTATGAACCAAATATATGACACAATTTTTTATTTCTTGTTATGGACAGTCTGCTATAAAGGCTTCGTTAAAATATCCTTTTGTATTCTACAAAACAGGAGGAAAATGAGACAACCACCATTTCAAGTACAACAGGTACGTTCTTTATTTTATCCCATTCTTAATTATTTTCATGTTAGGAGTCATATATAAGAAAAGTTACATTCACCCTTACACATATACGCAGATACGTACCCATCCAGATACTAGCACATAGCACACAAATGTGCGTGAGTGCGTGTGTGTGAGAGAGAGAGACTAAGACAGACAGAGAGAGAAGGAGAGAGAGAGAGAGAGACTAAGACAGAGACAGAGACAGAGAGAGAGAAAGGCAGAGGCAGCAGAGGAGAGAGGGGGAGGAGGAGAGAGGAGAGAGGGAGAGAGGGAGAGAGAGAGAGAGAGAGAGAGAGAGAGAGAGAGAGAGAGAGAGAGAGAGAGAGAGAGAGAGAGAGAGACAGAGGAGACAGAGAGAGAGAGAGAAAGAGAGAGAAGTGGTGAGAGAGAAAGAGGGGGGGGCAGAGACAGAGAGAGAGAGAGAGAAAGAGATAGAGCATGCGCACTCACATACATCCATACATACCATACATTCATGCCATGAGTAAAATAACCTACTGATTATTAACATAAGAATTACCATTACATTGCCAGAAGACCATAAAGAATCAAAGACAATTCTTAATAACACATCCTTTGGAATACCAGAATCCACGGTTTTGACGGAAACAACCTTCACAACTCTAGAATCAACAATATTACTAGAAACAACTACAACCCCGGAATCCACAGTCTTACCCGAAACAACATTTACATCATTGGCTTCCACAACTTCATCAGTGACAACTTTGACAACCCTAGAACCAACAAACTTACCAGAGACGTCTACAACACCGGTGACTGTTACAACTCTGGAATCCACAAACTTACCAGAGACGTCTACAACACCGGTGATTGTTACAACTCTGGAATCCACAAACTTACCAGAAACATCTACAACACCGGTGATTGTTACAACTCTGGAATCCACAAACTTACCAGAAACATCTACAACACCGGTGATTGTTACAACGCTGGAATCCACAAACTTACCAGAAACAACTA